GGAATGCCCCGCTGGAAACTAGCTACCTGGATATAAGGCAATAGATGCATTACTTAATTGCACAGTTGGCAGAGCCTCCGTTGAACCACTTAGCAGGATAGGAGCACCTGAAATGAACAGCACACTGAGCAAACGCTGCAGCAGGACGAGCACAGTTCATTAGAGCACATTTCGGGAGCGCTTCCCAGCTCGGAAGGCGTTCCCGCTCCGTTCCCGGGCGCCTGCCCGTGCTCGGGACGCCCCTGCGCTTCCCACGCGGCTCACGCTGCTCCCCGCGCTCGCGGCCCCAGCACGCAGGCTCGAGCTCCCCCCGTCACGCTGCAAGGGAGACGTGCCGTCAGCACGAGCACAACGCGCAGAAACGCCAAGGGATGCTCTCAGCGCGACGTGCCGCCGGGCCCCGGGGCGCACGGCGCCGCTGCTAGCGCACACCCATTTTGAGCAATTCCTCCGTGGAATTGGTGCCCGCTCCTCCGCTCTGACTCACCAAAATGTGTATTTTCTTCAAAAAATACAAATCAAAAAAAATACAAAGCTTGTCAGAGCAAAACAGTTATTTTCCGTCCACACAGTGATACTTAACAGACACCTAGTGCTTCTTACCTACGAGGTCTGGCCCGGGCCTGCAATAATAATCATTAGTATGGCTCGCGTGTTAGAATACATTCTAAATCAATCCATCAATCAGTCATTTCTGACCTCTTGGCCACAGCATACCTATAGCAGCTCCGAGGCAGAGAGGCTGCTGGTTGGAGCTGGGAGAGAAGCAAAAGCGTCCTAGGAAAAGGCGTTCGCTGGGGCTTTCTTCCCCCGAACGCGAGCGAATTCCCGTCCTGAGCGCCAGGTTAGAGCAGGTTATCGAGCACCCAGGGCAGGCTGCGTTGGCTTGGGCAGCTGCGCAGACTCCAGCGCCGCGGTCTTTTACAGACCGCTCTCCAAATGAGCATTCAAAAACCATCTCAAGGCGCTGAAGGCAGCTCGGGACCCTCCGAAATGCGTCGCTCCTTTTGCATACCTCCCACTCCATTTTCCAGGATGATTTACGTGTAGGACAGTGCCAATATGAAGGGAGGGAGGGAAATCCCAGCAGGGCAGTAGCAGTACGTGGAGGACTTCCCTTCTCCGCAGTGACTACACCACAGCAACTATACCATGCGCAATGGCCAAGATGCAGAAAGCACAGTGCAACCAGGATCTAGATTTAAGCTTTACCTAAGGACTAGCCCTTACCTGAGAGATCCCCAGAGTCCAGCTCCTCTGCGGAATTTGGCAACTGAGTAAAGCCTTACAAGCAAAAACAAACTCATTTTTCTTTGGATTCCTCCAAGGACAAAAACAACACACTTAAGAACTGAGGATGAATTTCTTGGGGAAAAAACAGTGAGTCAAACACTTGCCATCTCCCAATGGCTCGAGCAGATTTAACTTGTAATACAGTTCTCCAATTATTTGCTTTATAGCTAACAGACTATCAGAAACATTCCTCAGTCTACACACGAAACATGTAGGTGAATTATAATCACTCATTCATAACAGCATGCAAAATCTCTAAACTCAGTCTTTGCACTCGCAAGCTAGGGCAATTTCTCTACTTACTCTGGATCTGTTTAGTTTACGTATTGGCATCAGTGCCAAACTGTCTTCCAATTTTCAACAGAAGCCAATTTATTGGGGCAGCATTAATAAGCATCCAACTTTTCCATTAAGGAATATTGTGCAGCACTTTCCAAAGCTAGGGCATCTGCAGACTGCAGCTTGCATCTTCTGCGAATCGATCTGACCCGGGCTTTTTGATTTATTTCCCGAATTTGAAGCATCTGTGTAAAAAGCGTCTCTCCCCAAAGCTGATAAAGCAGTCGGACAAGAAAGGCTCTGCAGTGAACGTCCCTCGCAGCGGCCGGGACGCAGGGGACACGTCACGTTGCTGGGCCTGCCTTTAACCCACAGCCTCGTGAGCGCGCAGACCTGCCACCCGCTGCAAAGCGGCAGCACTAAGTAGAGCTGCCGAAAAACACAGCTCGTTTTCAGCGACAGCGTTCCAAACACATCAACGCGTCCGGAATCTGCTGCGAATAATCTTCCAAAGCGGGAAGCCGTTGGCATTAGCAGCAATCAATCTGCGTTTGCAGCAGTGCGGGATGTCGGGGAGGCACCGCGGCTCCCGGTTCCGCACGGCGGCCCCGGCGTTTGCAGGGAAGGGCATTTTCTCAGGAACGGAAAAGGGCACCGCTGCATTTTTCATGAAGCAAAAAAAGCGCCCCCTTTTTTTTTTTCCAAGAGAAAATTCAACAATTCCGTTTCTACCTGCACCTGGTACACTTAAAAATGTCACTGAACAGTATTAAAATGTGTTGTGAGGCATTTTACATACGTGGTAAATTACTTCTTGATTTTTCTCATTAAACTTTCATATAAGCTATTAAAGTCCCTTTTTTTTCCCGCTTCCGATCAGATCTATTCGAAGTGTAGAAGCGCAACTCCTTTTCACTAAATGAAAGTGAACTTGCCCCTCTCACACAATTTCTCTGTCAAACAGTACATCTGAAAAGGCTGCAATCAACACGCTGCAGCTCGTGCGGGCTCAGCCAGGTACTTCAACCATTAGCTGAAGACACCCGGGATTGGCTCAGATTTATGTTGACAGAGTAACACCCTGCGCTTCCTGCGCAGCTAACATTAATTCTTAAGCAAAATATAACTTGTGCATAATCTTCTGGTTATAAAATGGCTTCTCTATATCATGCTACGGGTATCACCTTTTCTTGTCACTCTTTGTCCCTGTCCGGTGTATTTTGATAATACTGATCTTAGGAGGGACGTCCTGCTTTGCCAGCTTCAGAGGACTTTTTGCACCCTATCTTCTCATGACTATTAGCAGAACTTCTGCCCATGATGACACAGAAACATCCTGGGAGCTAAAACGCAGCTTTCTGCTCCCCATCCTCGGGCCACGGAGGCCCAAATGGGTCTTTGAACACCTGTGTCCTGAGCGGGAGTCTTCAGCTCCAGTGTCCGCATATGTGGATGCCCAAACACATATCCGCACACCGTGTACGTAGCGAGTGCAACTAAGCGCAACGGGCATTCTTTGGGGATCTTCCAAAACATTCAAAAGCCATTTAGGGTCTGGCCTTACAGTAGGCTGCAGTCCAGTTGGGGGAAAAAAAAAGTTATGGAATTGTCTCAGTACTTTTGCTGTAGCAAAAGAAATCAGCATGTATAAGGTCATGGCTTTTTATACATGTTTCCCACACAGGAGACAAAAAGTGAATGGGGTAGTCCTGGAAAATTAAAAAAAAGGGCCAGGGCTCGGTAATGACTTTGGAGCTGCTCAGCACTTACATGTGGATTTGCAGCAGGGAAGGGGCAGGAGAGGAGGAGAGAAAGGGGAAGGGGTGAAAAAGGGCCCTCCTGCGCGCGGGCAGGGAAGGGAAGGGAAGGGAAGGGAGGAAGCGCCGGAGCGCGGCAGCAGCGCAAGCCTTCCTGCGGGCCATGACCATGACCATGACCATGACCATGCTCCTACGGGGGTTGTGGCAACGGACAGCGCAGAGAAAGGAGAAAGTGCGTCAGAAAATCGAGTTAAGCTCTCGCTGTTGAACAAAAGAGTTAACAATGTTCGTGCTTTAAGTCGCTCATGCATTGCTGCTGTTAATTCCATTCCTTAGGGAAACAGGAATGGCGGGGACTCGGCTACCGTTTTGTTCATGCACACACATACAGGACTCCTTTTCCCCCAGTCCTCTAGGATACACTCCAAAAAATTCCGTTACTCAAAAATCCTTTCCCAGATTGAAGTGTTGTGCTGGTGCCACACTAGCCTCACATTTCATTTGCTTGGCTTCCAATCTGTTGAGCCCCCCCTCCCTCCCTCCAATTCATTTAAAGTCGTTTTTGGAGAAAATCCATTTGGCTTTAGTTCATGCCCATGCATTTCTAGTCATTCACAGACATGCTCACTCCGATTGGTAAGAACAAATGGCCAACATACAGAAACACCTGGTATACTCCATACACACTCCGGCAACACAAGCCTGGGAAGAAGGCCGAGTCTTCACGGGAAGAGACCCCAGGAGGACAACGGCAGCGCAGTTTGGAGCAAAACGCGCTGCTTTTTAAGGCAGGAAGGTCTGGCACCGCTCACTCCACTTGCAGCGCTTGTCATTTCGGTTGCCAGCCTCGGCGCGGAGGCAGGTTGAAATACTCGCACGGGGCCCTCCTCGCGCTCCAAACGTGCTCTTCGGGGCTTTGCCCGATAGCAGGAAAACTGCCCCAGCCCTAAGGAATTGCACTTAAGGAAGAGGCGTGGACGAGCCGGCTGCAGCGCTGCAGACTGCGGCTGCATTTAGCTAATGCAGCGGGATGTTGGCTTAATGAAGCATCCCTCTTTAATTACTGATGTCATGGAAAACAGCACCCGCGCCTTGAACACTGCTCGATATTCTATCTGCAGCGCCCTGCGCTTTCACTGCGCCCCGCAGCCGCTGCCGGGGGCAGGACGGGCGCTCGGACCCTGCCTACGGCTGCGCAGCGCCCGCGGAGGCGGCAGCTACAAACCCTTCCCTTTGAACCCTGACAGCCAACAGCGCCGTGCGCGGGAGCGCTGCAAGCAGAAGGGCACCCGAGCGCTGTCATTGCCCTAAACGCAGCCAGGCAGACAAGGCGTTCGCTGCAGGAACGGCTCTGCCCTCCTTCTGATATGCAGCAGCTCTCCTTGAGCAGCGCCCCGCTCAGCCTTGCCTTCCGCCTACGGCCAAAGACGTGTCTTCGTAGGAGGAGGCAGGGGCAAAAAAAAGAGGAAAAAAATTCAGGCCGCATTGTAGATTAGCATGAAATACAGCTTAGTCTTAATTAAAATTGTCAGAGGTTCCTGGTTATTTAGCCTAAAAGTTTGTGCCAAAAATCTGTATGCTCAACTTTCAGCCTGAAGTGCCTGTTTAAGCTCGCTTTAAAAGCGCAGGAAGCCATGGGAGCTGTCAAGCTGTTAGCCAGACTGCCGTGCGCAGACGAGCAGGGTTAGTTTGCTAGACTGCTACGCCGAGAAGAAAGTGTTGCTATTTGTTTTTAAAATCGCCTTCTGCAGCGTAATAATGCAAACTTCACTGCTGACCTACGAGATGAGAGGCTCTTGTGGGGAACAGCCGCAGAATACCAAAATACGACTCGTCTCCAGCAGACTCGGAGGATTCACTTCCTTACCAAGTTAAAAAAAGAAAAGCGCTGAAAGTTTCATGCATCTCTTAAAAAATTAAATTTGAGTTCGTCTTTTCAAAAGGCGGATCTCTCTTTAATGTTTGAAATGATTACGCCAGCAAAAACGCTTCCCAAAAACCCCTCTCGCTTCCTTTGTGCTTCTCCTACACGCGCGTCGCTCCCAGCGGGTTTGGGGAACTGGGACTCGCCCCGCGCTCCAACAATTGGCTGTGAAGCTCGCAACAGAAATGACAAGACTAAGCATCCTTTCAAGCCTTAAAAACTATGTTATATTTATGAGAGCAGTCCACTTGAAACATGAATTTCCCTTGAAGACTACATTTTCTTTTTTTTTTTTTTTTTTTTTTTTTTTTTTCCCCTTCCCAGGCTTGTCTTGCCACTCAGCAGTGCTGAGAAATAAGATAAACAGGAATGTGATACCAACCGTGAACTGCCGGTTCTGTCGTCGCCGTTGTGTCTACACACGGGAACAGAGGATTGGAGGAAGGGAAGAAACAGGAGGAACGGCATGCAAAAAAAGGGAAAATGGAAAAAATGGAACAGATAATATATGAGCAAGCTTTCAAAGAACATTGCGTGACAAGCAATAATAAAATGAAAGGCAAAAAGCATTTGAAGTGAGTTGCACTGTTTAGAAGACATGCCTCGAGTTCAAAAGCTATAAGCCTGAGGAAAACAGTAAATTTTGCGTTCTGTCCCGGGCCTTGGCAGCGGAACGATCCCTGGTGGTGGCAGGTAGGGGACAGGGGCCGGGGCTGGCGCAGAGGCAGCTCTCGCGGCGGGCAGCGCCGAGCGGAGCGGAGGCTCCGGGACGGGAGCGTCTCCACGTTCCAACGGGAGCGTCTCCACGTTCCGACGGGAGCGTCCCGCCGGGCCCTGCCCCACGTCCCGTCGCTTGGGCAGCACAAAGCTGAAGGTGGCCCTCCCTGGTCCTGGCCGCGCGGAGCTGCCTCCCTGCCACCACGAGGGATGTTCCACCTCTCCGCCGGCTCCAGCCTCAGCACCGACCGGCCCAGGGGCTCTCTGGGCAGCTCCGTCCTCGGGGTCCTGCCTCAAGCTCTTCCATACCCATGGATGCGCCCCACTCGTCCCCACCGTCTGCAACGCCGGCCGCCATCCGCCTGCTCCCGCTGCTGCAGCCGCCCCGTCCCATCTAACACGTGCGTTAATAAGGCAGCACGGGGAGCCTTCCAAAGCCCACGGGGAACGAGCGTGGGGCCACCCGCTTGCTTGGGCCTTTCCTTCGCTTTTGCACTAAGGGCACCAAAATAACGCCCCGCTCCACCCAAGCAAACGGTGAGGGGGGACATGGCGGTGAAGGCACGGGGCGCTTGTGCTTAGAGAGAATTATACACTGAGTAGCACGTCCTGAGATAGCACCTTGGCGTCTACAAACGGTCTCAATTTACTGTCTTCCTGAAATAAAAGAGTTATGTCAGCTTCCACACTAAACAGAAAATCTGCTGAAAGCAAACTTGTGTTCACGTGCTGGAAGAGATATTAGTCAAGAAACAGTGCGAACTGGACAGTGCATCTCGCTTCCCCCTCTGGGGACAGAGACCAACAGGTTACAAAAATAAAGTTCTCAAGCAGCTGTAAGTGCGAACAAATATCCAAGTCAAACAACATGTTGGCTGCAGCTGGAATGACAAAGTTATGATTAGCAGATGGCTCGGATGGTTGCAATAGGAAGCACAGACCGGTTAGAGATCGGGGCGGCTTGCTGGCGGGCG